TGGGTGCTTTCGTCCCTCTTTGGGGTGCTCCCACCCTATTTTGGGTGCCTGTGCCCTTTTCCTGGGTGCTTGCGCCCTCCTTTGGGTGCTTGCACCCTTTTTTGGGGTGCTCGCACCCCGTTTTGGGTGCATTGCCCTGGATTTGGGTGCCTTTGCCCTGTCCTGGGTGCTCTTACCCTGTTTTGGGGTGCTCTCACCCTGTTTTGGGTGCCGTTGTCCTGCTTCAGGGTGCTCGCACCCTGTTTTGGGTGCCTTTGCCCTTTCCTGGGTGCTCTCACATAATTTTGGGGGGCTCTCACCCTATTTTGGGTGCCTTCACCCTTTCCTGGGTGCTTGCGCCCTCCTCTGGGTGCTCGCACCCCATTTTGGGTTCATCGCCCTGGATTTGGGTGCCTTTGCCCTTTCCTGGGTGCTCCCACTGCATTTTGGGGTGCTTGCACCCAATTCCAGGTGCCGTTCTCCCGCTTTGGGGTGCTCTCACCCTGGTTTGGGTGCATTCACTCTATTTTGGGTGCCTTCACCCTTTTCCTGGGTGCTTGCGCCCACCTTTGGGTGCTCATACACTTTTTTGGGTGCTTTTGTCCTGCTTTGGGGTGCTCTCACCCTCTTTTGGGTGCCATTGCCCTTTTCCTGTGTGCTTGCACCCTCCTTTGGGTGTTTTTCTCCTGCTTTGGGGTCCTTGCACCCTTTTTTGGGTGCCTTTGTCCTGTTTTGGGGTGCTCTCACCCTGTTTTGGGTGCCTTCACTCACCTTTTGGGTGCCTTCACCCTTTTCCTGGGCACTTGCGCCCTCCTCTGGATGCTCACACTCCGTTTTGGGGTGCTTGCACACCGTTCCGGGTGACGTTGTCCTGCTTTGGGGTGCTCTCACCCTGTTTTGGGTGCCTTTGCCCTTTCCTGGGTGCTCTCACATGATTTTGGGGTGCTCTCACCCTGGTTTGGGCGCCTTCACCCTTTTCCTGGGTGCTCGCGACCTCCTCTGGGTCCTTGCACCCTGTTTTGGGTGCTCTCACCCTGTTTTGGGGTGCTCTCACCCTGGTTTGGGTGCATTCACTCTATTTTGGGTGCCTTCACCCTTTCCTGGGCACTTGCACCCTCCTCTGGGTGCTCGCACCCCATTTTGGGTGCATTGCCCTGGATTTGGGTGCCTTTGACCTTTCCTGGGTGCTCCCACCCCATTTTGGGGTGCTTGCACCCCGTTCTGGGTGCTTTTGTCCTGCTTTGGGGTGCTCTCACCCTGGTTTGGGTGCCTTTGCCCTTTCCTGGGTGCTCTCACCCCATTTTGGGGTGCTCTCACCCTGGTTTGGGTGCCTTCACTCACCTTTTGGGTGCCTTCACCCTTTTCCTGGGTGCTCATGTCCTCCTCTGGGTGCTTACACCCCGTTTTGGGTGCATTGCCATGGATTTGGGTGCCGTTGCCCTTTTCCTGGGTGCTCTCACCCCATTTGGAGGTGCTTGCACCCTGTTTTGGGTGTTTTCACCCTGTTTTGGGTGCCTTCACCCTTTTTCTGGGTGCTTGCACCCTCCTTTTGGTGCTTGCACCCTTTTATGGGTGCTCCCACTGCATTTTGGGGTGCTTGCACCCAATTCCGGGTGCCGTTCTCCCGCTTTGGGGTGCTCTCACCCTGGTTTGGGTGCATTCACTCTATTTTGGGTGCCTTCACCCTTTTCCTGGGTGCTCTCACATGATTTTGGGGTGCTCTCACCCTGGTTTGGGTGCATTCACTCTATTTTGGGTGTCTTCACCCTTTCCTGGGTGCTTGCGCCCTCCTCTGGGTGCTCGCACCCCATTTTGGGTTCATTGCCCTGGATTTGGGTGCCTTTACCCTTTCCTGGGTGCTCCCACCCCATTTTGGGGTGCTTGCACCCCGTTCCGTGTGCTGTTGTCCCACTTTGGGGTGCCCTCACCCTGGTTTGGGTGCATTCACTCTATTTTGGGTGCCTTCACCCTTTTCCTGGGCGCTTGCGCCCTCCTCTGGGTGCTCGCACCCTTTTTTGGGTGCTTTTGTCCTGCTTTTGGGTGTTTTCACCCTTTTTTGGGTGCTTTCATTCTGCTTTGGGGTGCTCTCACCCTGGTTTTGATGCCTTTGCCCTTTCCTGGGTGCTCCCACCCCATTTTGGGGTGCTCTCACCCTGTTTTGGGTGCCTTCACTCACCTTTTGGGTGCCTTCACCCTTTTCCTGGGTGCTCGCACCCCGTTTTGGGTGCTTTCACCCTGCTTTGGGCGCATTCTCCCTCATTCTGGGTGCGTTTCCCCTCACTTCGGTGCATCCCCCCCATGCTCCCTCCCCTACCCTGGACTCCTTGTGCCACCCCTGCACCCATGGGCACCCCCGACCCCAACGGGTGCCCCCCTGGGTCCCCTCCCACACCCTTGTCCTCTGCTTCACCGGCACCATACCGGAGTTGGCGCGGGCGTTGGGTGCCTGTAGCACCCCAGGGTGCCGGGCGGTGCTGGGAGAGCCACCCGATGTCCCACCAACCCCACCAACGCTCAACCAGGAGCAATGGCTGCTCTTCACCCAACTCTTCCATCACCACCACGCCGCACCTGAGCGCGGCGCCGTGCTGGCACCCGACGGTTCCACCGTCACCCTGGGTCCCCTCTTTGCCGGCATGGAGGTTGGCCTCAAGCGGGCGACGGGGGATGGGTGGCCCGGCCCCACCCCCGAGCCACCCGTCGATGCGCTCTACGCCGTCACCATCGCCGAGGTGCTGGGGACCTCCTTCCTGTTGGCTCGCCACGGTGACAGCAACCGAGCCACGTTGGGACCCGGCGGCTGTTGGGATGACGTGGATGACCCCCAAAATTACACCCTCCTGGGAGCTCCCTCGCCCATCCCTGACGCCCTTGCCAATGGGGCGATGGATGGGGTGCTCTTGGGTGCCCGCTTGGCTCGAGAACCCATCCCGCTCGCCGACCTTCTCCGAGGCTACTACGGGACGGGCAACGGCACGGAGAAGGGGCGACCACCCAGCAGTTTCCGGCGACGAGATTTCGGGGCGCTGGTGGGGCCGGGGAAGTTGGAAGAGGAGGTGACAGCGATGTTGAGGGTGCTGCGGGTGCTGCCACCCACCCGGGAGCTCTTGGAGGACGTGGGGCCAGAGGAGGTGGTGGCCATCGCTCAGCAAGCGGCGCGGGACTTCACGGAGGTCTATGTGGGTAGGGAGGTGGCACCGGGTCACGATGTCACATCTGCCCCCCGCCAAAATTGGGTGGGAGGATGGGTGGAGACCTGCACCCTGGGTGGGGCGGGAGGTCCCTGGTGTCACCCCAGTGTAGGTGGCGCTGGGGGGAGTTAAGGTCTGAGAGCTGAGTGGTGGCATGGCCACTGCTGTGTCCCCTGGGTGGTGGTCCCTGGAGAGTTTGTCCCCTGGATGGCCACTGATGCGTCCCCTGGATGGCCACCACCATGTCCCCTGGGTGGATGCCCCCTAGAGGGACACTGATGTGCCCTCAGATGGTGATCCCTGGATGGCCACCACCATGACCCCTGGATAATGGGTCCCTCGACACTGCTTTGTCCCCTGGATGGCCACCGATGTGTCCCCTGGATGGCCACCACCATGTCCCCTGGATAATGGGTCCCTGGACACTTTGTCCCCTGGATGGCCACCAATGTATCCCCTGGATGGCCACCACTGTGTCCCCTGGATAATGGGTCCCTGGACACTGCTTTGTCCCCTGGAGGGCCACCGATGTGTCCCTTGGATGGCCACCAATGTATCCCCTGGATGGCCATCACCATGTCCCCTGGATAATGAGTCCCTGGACACTTTGTCCCATTGATGGCCATGGATGTGTCCCATGGATGGCCACCACTGTGTCCCCTGGATGGCCATCACCATGTCCCCTGGATGGCCACCAGCATGTCCCCTGGCCACTAGACAGCCATGTCCCTGGCCAACCAACCCCCTGAGCTCCACGTCCCCTAGATGAGGGGACCCCAGGAGGACACTACTATGTCCCAGGCCAAGGGGTTCCTCAGCTGGGTGGCTGCTCCATGTCCCCAAGCCCCCAAGGGGACACTGCCATGTCCCCAACTGCCCATGGGGACCGGGCAAGTCCCCTTCTTCCACCTCCTGCCTTTCCTTGTAGAGTGCCCGGCCATCGTGCCCCGGTGCATGTGGGGTGCCCGTCCCTACCGTGGCACCCCCAGACCGTTGACCCTCCCCTTGGACTCGGTCTACATCCACCACACCTCCACGCCCAGTGCCCCCTGCCGCACCTTCGCCGCCTGCGCCCACGCCATGCGTGCCATGCAACGCTTCCACCAGGACACCCGCGGGTGGGATGACATCGGCTACAGGTGACACCCCCCCCATCCCCGGCACCCTATCATCGTCCCTGGCACCCATCTCTGGGTGGTTCAGGTGGACCCCATTGGGTGCTTGCAGCTTTGTGGTGGGGTCGGATGGATACCTTTACCAAGGCCGAGGTTGGCATTGGGTTGGCGCCCACACCAAAGGCTACAACAGCAAAGGCTACGGCGTGGGCTACGTTGGAGACTTCTCGGCCACCTTGCCGGACCCCGATGCCATCGCTCTGGTACGGGACGTGTTCCTACCCTGCGCCGTGAAGACCGGCCGGCTACAGCAGAACTACACCCTACGTGGCCACCGCCAGATGGGTCACACCGACTGCCCCGGCAACTCCCTCTTCCGTGAGATTGAGACCTGGCACGGCTTCAAGGTGAGCAGCAAGCTCTGTGGCATCTCCAGGGGTTGGGTGCCCTGGTTGGGGCATCTGGTTGGGTCTGGCATGGGCAGGAGGATGGCGGTTTGGTGGGGTGGGAGGTTATGATGGGACTGATGGTGGTTTCTTCTCTGCAGTGAGGACCTGGTGGGTCCTGGTCTGGATGGGTGCAGGTAAGGTTGTGTCGTGGTCTAGATGGATGCTGGCCCAATGTGTGATGGTCCAGATGGACCCTGGTCCAACAGATATTGGCCCAATGGACACCAGCCTGGATGGACCCTGGTCCAGATGGATACCAGCCTGATGGACACCAGTCTGATGGACACCAGCCTGGCTGGACCCTGGTCCAGAGGGACACCAGTCTGATGGACCCTGGTCTAGAGGGACACCAGTCTGATGGACACCAGCCTGGCTGGACCCTGGTCCAGAGGGACACCAGTCTGATGGACACCAGCTTGGATGGACACTGGTCCAGATGGATGCCAGTCTGATGGACACCAGCCTGGCTGGACCCTGGTCCAGAGGGACACCAGCCTGATGGACACCAGCCTGGCTGGACACGAGCCTGGGTAGACCCTGGTCCGGAGGGACACCAGTCTGATGGACACCAGCCTGGATGGATACTGGTCCAGAGGGACACCAGTCTGATGGACACCAGCCTGGCTGGACACGAGCCTGGGTAGACCCTGGTCCAGAGGGACACCAGCCTGATGGACACCAGCCTGGCTGGACCCTGGTCCAGATGGACACCAGTCCAACGGATGCCAACCCAGAAGGACCCAACCTTGAAGACCACCAGCCTGGCCAGATCCTGGCCCAGCTGGGCACCAGCCTGGACACCAGTCTGATGGACACCAGCCTGGCTGGACACGAGCCTGGGTAGACCCTGGTCCAGAGGGACACCAGCCTGATGGACACCAGCCTGGCTGGACCCTGGTCCAGATGGACACCAGTCCAACGGATGCCAACCCAGAAGGACCCAACCTTGAAGACCACCAGCCTGGCCAGATCCTGGCCCAGCTGGCCCCCAGCCTAGCTGGATCCTGGCCTGGCCCCACTGGCCCAACAGACCATCCCCATAGCCACAATAAAGTCAATCCCAGGAGAGCAACTTTGGGTGATCCCTGGAGAGCGAGGGGGAAAATGAGGCACAGGGTGGTGTGTGGGGGTTGCCCATGGGGTCATAGGAGACCCCAGGTGACCGGGACCTTCTGCAGGGCTGGGTGCTGTGGCGCACGCGTGCCCAAGCAGCACCCCCACCCCCCCCACCCCCCCTTAACCCACCTTGATG